CACACCTGGGCACAGCAACAGGAGGGTTTGGGGCTGAGGAGGGTCCCCCAGAGCTGGGACACAGCACGGGGCATCGCCAGACCCCCAGCCCCGAGCCCAGAGCAAGGGACACACAGACATCCCCGTCCCTCCCCCCTGCGGCCATCAGCACTGCCCGGGACTGCGGGATGGGGAAGAGCCCGGGGCCCTCGGGACCTGCGGCAGAAAAACAAACTCTTTGGCTGGGGATAAAAATGAGCTGGAAGGGAGGCAGCGAGAGAAGAGCCCCAAATACTCGCCGGAGTGATGTGCATCACTGAGCCCCAGGATGCGCCCCCCTGAGCCCCTTCCCCATCCCCGCTCGCCCCAAGCAGAGCCCACGGGGCTGGGCTGTGCCAGGGGCTGCACCCGGCAGGGCTGGTGCTCACCAGGAGCAGCTCAGGGAGCCCCACTCACCGTGCACGGACACCTCCGTGCCCTTTCCATGCCGAAACACCTCCTCACCAGCCAGCGACTTGCTGAACTTGACACAGTAATAGGTGCCGGCATCCTCGGGGCGAACATCGCTGATGCGGATGCTGAAATCTGTGTCAGATGGACTCACGACCCTCGTCACGCGGGGGAAGGAGCCCGTCTGCTCATAAACAGTCTCGTTCCTGCTGCCCCAGGCCTTCAGCCACTTCACGGGGCCGAGGGGACCGTCTGTAGACACGGTGCAGGTCAGGGTGAGCGTGTCCCCTGCTGCCACAGACACCTTGTCCTGGGGCTGGTGCAGCTCGAAGCCCCGATCTGTCAGGGGCCACACACCTGGGCACAGCAACAGGAGGGTTTGGGGCTGAGGAGGGTCCCCCAGAGCTGGGACACAGCACGGGGCATCGCCAGACCCCCAGCCCCGAGCCCAGAGCAAGGGACACACAGACATCCCCGTCCCTCCCCCCTGCGGCCATCAGCACTGCCCGGGACTGCGGGATGGGGAAGAGCCCGGGGCCCTCGGGACCTGCGGCAGAAAAACAAACTCTTTGGCTGGGGATAAAAATGAGCTGGAAGGGAGGCAGCGAGAGAAGAGCCCCAAATACTCGCCGGAGTGATGTGCATCACTGAGCCCCAGGATGCGCCCCCCTGAGCCCTGCAGCAGGCTTGTGGCACAGCTGCTCCTGGAGACGTGGCCTCAGGCTGCTCGACTGCCTCTGATTCTGCTGGTTCCTCCCACCATGGGACCCCCTCCGGGGACTGGCCCCTGAGCCCCTTCCCCATCCCCGCTCGCCCCAAGCAGAGCCCACGGGGCTGGGCTGTGCCAGGGGCTGCACCCGGCAGGGCCAGTTCCCACCGGTAGCAGTTCAAGGAGCGCCACTCACTGTACACGGACACCTCCGTGCCCTTTCCACGCCGAAACTCCACATCACCACGCAGCGACGTGCGGAACTTCACGCAGTAATAGGTGCCGACATCCTCGGGGCGAACATCGCTGATGCGGATGCTAAAATCTGCGTCAGACCCACTCACGACCCTCGTCACACGGGGGAAGGAGCCCGTCTGCTCATAAACAGTCTCGTTCCTGCTGCCCCAGGCCTTCAGCCACTTCACGGGGCCGAGGGGACCGTCTGTAGACACGGTGCAGGTCAGGGTGAGCGTGTCCCCTGCTGCCACTGACACCTTGTCCTGGGGCTGGTGCAGCTTGAAGCTCTGACCCGTCTGGAGACTCACACCTGGGCACAGTGACAGGAGGGTTTGGGGCTGAGGAGGGTCCCCCAGAGCTGGGACACAGCACGGGGCATCGCCAGACCCCCAGCCGTGAGCCCAGAGCAGGGGACAGAGAGACGTCCCTGTCCCTCACCGCCTGGGGCCATCAGCACTGCCCGGGACTGTGGGACGGGAAGGCCTCGGGCCCCCAGGACGTGCTGCAGAAAAACAAACTCTTTGGCTGGGGATAAAAGCGAGCTGGAAGGGAGGCAGCGAGAGAAGAGCCCCAGATGCCAGCAGGCACGGGAAGGATTGCCCTGCCAGCACCAGGGGGAGTGTGCCGTGGGAAAGGTGCCGGGGCCCTGGGGGGCCCCCACTCACCCGAGGCTCTCCGGAGCAGGAGCAGCATCAGGCAGGCGAGAGGCAGCGCCCGGGTCGCTGGAGCCGTGGGGATTCCCATGTCCTGCTCTTCGATGGCTTGGCTTGGCTGGGCTCGGCTTAGCGGGGCTCAGCTCGGCTGGGGCTCAGCAGGCTGCTGGGCTCTCTCCTAGCAAAGGGGAAGGAAGGGGCCCCCCGCCTGCACAGTTCCTCCACAGACCCTTTGCCTAACACAGCCAGTCCCCGCAACCTTCACGCCACCCTGTGTCACGGCCTGGTCCTCGCCAGACCCGCTGGTCCCGCTCTCCCCGTGGGCCACAGCCCTGGCTACCAGCACTGGGCAACCCCCAGGAGGGACCCCAATCCATCCCGCGTGGCCGGGGGTGTCGGCCCAGCAGGGTTGGGGCACAGGCTGGCATCTCCCACGGGCCAGTGGCCCAGGGCTCCTCCTGAGCCCCCCTGCAGGCAAACCTGGGGGGGCAGAG